TTTCCTTTCCGTTTAATTAACTTGTATGGTTTTTTTCGACGTAATTATTGTATTCAATTCATTTGTTCGTTCGTTCATTCAATTATATACTAGTTGATTTATTTCTAGATACATTCACTCAATTATACGTCCGTTTCAGACTTTGATTAATTATTTATTATTCTCCCTGTTAAGAAATTTGCCAGCTGACATTCATATTTTCTACGACGATAGTTCAGATGAGAATGGAGACTTCACATGAAACGAAAAATAAGATTCTGTACAACATTCTTTGGCCATATTCTACTGTGAAATATATGATTTATTCGTTTCACAAAAAGAAAGGTGTTTTCACTGTTGAGTCATCAATTTTCAAGATATTCTAATTGAACATTGCACACAATTGTTTTCTCTATAGTCCAGGAAATATACATCGGGGGAGAGAAAGGTTATTATAGACAGTGACAACGTGTTTTGACCAACTTAGTTCAAAGGAAGGCGAAGAAAATAATTTGCACCATTATACAATCACAGCACGAAAGATAAGTTGGCTCTCACGTAATTTTGAAAATTATGGAGCAGAAAAATTAGTGTGATATTTTAAGAATTCTTAGTTTACTACTTTGTTTCATTTTAACGAGCTCATTGTTCTTCCAACGTCTTTTTTCAGAAGGAATTTCACTTTGCGGCTCAGAGTATTTGTGCAAATGCTTTGGAATTCTAAATTTATTTAATATATTATCATGGCATTCAATACGATTACTCTTCACAAAGTTAACGCAATATTCTTAAAATACTTATTAAATAAATGGTATTTTCCCACTGTCTTTGAAGCAAACTTATTGTGATGTGTTTTCTTTATATGATTAAATGCTTGTAATATGAATCCTAAAATGAGAGAAATGACAATATATTTACACCTTAGTCTCTTCGTAAATTATGCGTCTGTTACAATGTTATATTACTATAAAACAATAGAAGCACCACATAAAAATTAATTGCAAATATGGTAAAAATACGTTCACTTGCTTTAATGAAACGTTGTTTGATACAAGTTAGTAAATAAGTGAACGGAAGTGACTCATTTTCCTTTTTGCTCTAGGGTGCTCGTTCACTAATCAGTCATTAACCCTAAATGTAATGGGAAACCAAATCTCCTGAAGTCTCCAAGGCCTCATCAGGCATCGAATACCTGAATAAAAGTTTAAAACATAGATTACACATTCAGTTAATAAAATGTTTAAATTTAAAATCAAATCAATATCTAATAATTTGTTAGCAGTGGTTATAATTGATCTTAATTCCCAAGAATCTAAATTTTGTGGAAGATAGTAAGGACTGTTACAGCATGGAAACGTTATCTTTTTTTTAAAAAAGGTCGTACAACTTCTAGGTCTTTAGCGACCAGTATTGATTGCAACAGTTAGGTAACTGTGAGGATGACACGATATGGTGATAGGGGGTGAAAGGTCGAACACAATACAACGATGCCCGAGGCGGGATTTGAACCCGCAATTCTTCGGTCCGAGATTGCTACAGCACTACTGCCTTAACAATCTCGGCCACCGGATCGGCAGCATGGAAACTTGATAGAGCAGAAATTGTTCAATAATAAAATTAAAAATGGGGTATAGTCGAAGATTTTTTCTTGCTGTATTCGTAAATACGGCATGATCCACGCGAAAACGAAACTGCGTGGACAGCAGAACTTTCATGGCTGGCTAGGGCTCGAATCTGTTACAGGGCCAGAGGAGGAGAGACTGTGTCTCATGAGTGTGTAGTAAAGGCAAGCCTTGGCTCCACAACCACATTTTAATATCTTCTTGAACCCCTTTGATCTCGGAGTCCTCCGTCGCCCTCCCCCAGCCCCAACACTTACCTGTTGGATTCGATTGTCAAACGGAGCTGCTCCGCTCGTTCGAAACAGCGCGCTTCGCCTCGCTCGCGCCGCCGCCCACGCCCCCAGGCAGCCCCACGCCTCTCAGCCACGCCCACCGCCACCGCGCCCGCGGCCCAAGACCCTCGCGCGGCTTCCAACGCTCCGCCACCTCCATTTCCTCAACCTCCTTCACTTGCGCATTCGCCTCCCCTCCGCCTCCATCTCCAGTCCCACCCCTCCACTCCTACCTCCGCCTTCCCCTCCTCTCCCCTGCCTCCACCGCCACCTCCATCTCCGCCTTCGTCTCAACCTCCCCGGCCACCTCTAACCCACCCCGGCCCCCATTCCTCTCCAACTCTGCTTCCTCGGCCTCTGCACCCATGCCTTCCCTGCTTCGTCTTCTCCAGAGCCGCCTGCGCTGCCTCCACCGCTTCTGGCTTCGCGGCTGTTCCGCAGCCATCCAGCGCCCTCCATCGCGTTTCAGTCGCGTCTGTGGCTCTGCCTGCGACCTGCAACGCGCCTTTGACTCCAAAGTGCTCGGATCCCATCTCCTTGTGCCCTCATTTTTTTACCCGTGTACTTTGTTTCTATACTTTTCCAATCGCTGCTCTTGTTCTTGACTTGACACACCCTTGTATCAGCTTCTACTCTTAGTTCTATTCGTTGGTGCATTATATTTTCGTGTTTATTTTTTATTTTTACTTTCTCGCTAAAGATAAGTGGGTTCGTCTTCATTTCGAAAGAAGGGGATTCGAAACATCAATAATTTAATTTTTACATTCGAGTTTTAATTTTCATTGTTAATGTACATTTTGTTTGTACATGTATAAAGCCAATAAATCACAATCTGATTATTATTTTATTTCGGTATTAATGCGTGAAAGAATTACTCCCCATAGTATTGTCAACTGTGCTTATCTGCATTCCTGTCATGAACATATTCTTCTCACTTTGTGTTTTGCAGGCGACAATTATTGCAACAGAAAAAAACGGTACACACCTTACGTTTATGAGAATGTTTAATAAACCTGACCTTCCGTTCCTTTAATTCCTTTGTTGGAGGCATTGGAAGTGAAAATTGAATTGATTTTGAATGAAATAAGAATTTGATTTCTATGAATCTGAGTATGGAAAACTCATTAGATTCTCGCTCATTTTTGTATGCTTAGAAACGTGAGGACTTTTGGGGGTAAGGATGTGAAAATTAACGCAACACTTTGTTGATTCTTAGTCTCAATTATTGAAGATGCTGCTGAAGCTTACTTGCAGTCGTCGCTGCCCCTCTGCTGAATAAAACCCTGGTCATCCGCCTTTCCATTATACTTATTTTATACGAAATACATTGCCTATGTTCGTGTAGTCCTCTTCACACTCAAAAGATATTACTCGCCATTCGCTTTCAATAATGTAGGTGATATCATTTACAAATGGAAACAGAGTGCTCATGATGTGGTTGTTGGTTTCATCATTCTTTGTATTACTCTGCTTACCCATTTATCTGCCTCACATTTGATCAAAATAATGTCCTGTCAAAATACTCATCTTCCATGATTGTATCGTCCGTTCACCATCATAACATTTGATTTGATTTCTCCATATTGTCCACCTGCCTAACCATCCTTCTGTACGAACACATGAGATGCCATTATTGTTCGCCATATTTTTACGTATCGCGCTGTCTTTACCATTGAAGATTACCTGTCACCCCCTCTGCTGTACGATTATCATTATTATAATTTCCAGAATATTTAAAATATTGTTTGTGATTGAAGTACATGTGCCAAAATCACCAGTGTATTCCCTTGCTTTCCATTTCAATACATTCAAGCAAAGACAAACTGCAAAGTAAGGTATCAGTCAGAACCAGAACACTTTGTATATGACATCAAAATTGCCTGCGTGGGCTGACAACGGAGTACTCTGTAATCAAGTGATATAGCCTGCGGCGTGTTGCTGTCATCACACCATTACGTTTTTCATGCTCTCATCTTCGCCTTTCATAAAACACCACAATCATCAACACTCCGATACACGGTGATTTTGCATGATGCTTCATCACTAATCAGAACCTTAGTCTTCACTATTACATCTAACATCATCACCGGTTGCGTCGACACGACATACGGAGCAGGTGCCACATCGTCATTGTCACAACGACGTGACCAATCACACCATAACAATTAGCAGCATCAGCATCAGCCCCGGATCATCATTTTCTTAGCGTGTCCGACCAAAACGCCTTCATCTACGTGAAAAACCTTGCCGAAACCGCTCTTACCATCTGTCAAACCTCGCTGCCTTCTCATTCCAACATTACGTTTAACAACCTCTAACACCCACAACCGCCACCTCAAGCACCTCCAGCGCCGCCTCCAGCAATCAGAGCTCCCCCGACTTCGCCCCCTCCTCCTCCTTCCGTCAACGGCGTGGCCGCCCTCCCCTCCCCTACCTCCCCTCGCTCTACCTGCCACAGGCAGCCTGCGTACCCTCAGCAGCCAGCTCGCCCGTCCCCGTCCGCGGCCACCGCCAAGCCGCCGTCCCCTCCCCTCCTCTCACCACCACGCCGCCGCCAACGGCGGCGTTCTTTCCCGCCTTCCACCGCGCGCTTCCTTCTCTGGCCGCTCGCCTCGCCTCGCCTCGCCTCGCCTCGCTTCGCGCCCGCCCGCACTCTCCAGGCCAAGCCGCCCGCGCCGGCCGGCGTCGGTCCGATGTGCCGCCTTTAGCCGAGCCCAAGCCCAGCAGCAGCCAGCCCCCCAGCACAGCAGCCCCAGCACTTTGGCCTCGCGCGCGCCGAGGCTCGCGGCCGCAAGGACGTGGTCGACGTTCACCGCCGCGCTTCCGGTGTAGTTCGCCCGCCCGCCGCTTGGCCTTCGGAAGCGACGCGTGTTGACGCGTGCGCGCGCCCGCCCGCGGATTGAATGCGTTTGTCTGCAGTCGTGACGTTCGCGTGGCGAGAGGTGCTTGCACGCGTGTGTGTTGTGCGTGTGGGCGGTGTTTCGTGTGTGTGTGGTGTAGTGGGATATCCCGCCCGGGCGGGGTGATTGCGAATCGACGTTGGCGCCGCCACCGCCGCCGCTGTTGCCGCCGAGTTGCGAGTTGGTAGCGCGTTGCGAGGTCGGGCAGCGTCCACTTGCTGTTGGATGCTGCCGCCGCCGCCGCCTCCGTCGTTGAAGTCGTTAACGGACGCTTATGGACACGTGATGGAGACAACCGTTGGAATGAATCTCGCTGTAAGAGGAGAGGTACGAGAGTGCTCTGTCATGGACTGGAATGTTTGACTGCGTGACATATGCATGATTTCTGTTCCACGTGTGTACATGCCACATACAACTTATTATTTTGCGGCAATTGATAGAGCATACCTTAAAAACGAGTGAACTGCTCTTGTTAGAAGAAAATCTAAGTTGACAAGTTTTCAAACTTCAATTGATAAGAATAATTCTCTCTCGCGAGAAACCTTAAATCATTACTAATTCATAGTGACATTAATTTTGTTTATTGCACTATAAACAGTTCATATTGTGAAGACGTCGATATTTTTACATATTCTAACGAAAACTGCCCGTTTAATTAAGAATTCCCATGAAATAATACGTGTAACATTCCAGTGAATAGAATCGATTGAATAGATTATCGTTTCAAGAGTTGGTGAATATTGTGATACAAGATTTGTGCATCGCGTTGGCAATCAGTGATCCACTCAGTGATTTGTGTTAGAGCTACGTGGTTCTGTTGTGCTTAATGATCAGTGCTACAGTGCAATAGGCTACACCTGTAATATCAATAGTTCGATAGTCTTTGCTTCGGTGAATCAGTTGTCATGTGATCATTGGATTCCTTTGCGTGTTTATTCAGTGCATTTCCATCGTCTGTTGTTTTTGCTCTATCGTGTGACGTGTTCACCACCCCTGCGTCGAGAATCAACAGTGCGTTCTACAGTTCCTGTGCATCGTCTCTCGCCAGCAAGAGGAAGCCCCGCGAGTCAGCGACCGCTGTGAACTCCGCCCGGCCGCCGGGCGTCGCGCTGTCGTTGGACCATGCGCCGCGTGCCGGCTGTCGCCCGAGCGATCCGCGGCGCCTGCTGGCCATGAGCGACGGCGTGTGGGGACGGTCTCCCGGCGCGGGGGGCCTGGACGACGCTGTGTTCGCCGCCGGGGCTCAGCACACCTCCACCCCCCTGCGCGGGCCATCGGCCGGAGCGGCGGCGCTCCTGCAGGTACGGCTTTTTGAGCGCCTTCATCCAACTTGCACTGCACTATCCGGGCTAGTGATGGCAAATTGCAGCAAAACGTCGATACATCGGGACTTCGATACATCAACAAAAGTTTTCGATATAAAGTTTTCGGCAAAATACATCATTACTTCAATATGTTTCATCATATTTAAAACGGTGTCCTGGTTCTAATGTGATACCTAGCACGTAAATATTAGTTTAATGTATTTTATGAGTTGCATTTCACTTTCATCTTAATTTTCTAATCAATTTTCTGTGTAGTAAAGTTTCAAAATGCTGTTTAACAACCGCGAAAAGCTGTAATAGGCAAACTGTTTCGTGCCGTCTGGGGATCGACAAGTGACAGTTGTCAATGGCTGTTAATTGCGAACATTCTGCAAAAAAATAGATATGGGAAATTTTATTCATATCATGAGTTTTTTTTAACATGGATGTTTCTGAACCAATTTATCGATCTACAGAAAACATCGAAAGCAAAAAATCGATGATTAATATCGATGTTCCTGCTATGTTTTAATAACATGGCATTACTAATTATTGAATTATTAATTTTAAACCGAGCAGGTTTATTTTGTGCTCTGATTTTGGAGAGGAGTGGTGGATTTGCTTGTTTTGAATACTCGAATATTATATCAAATCTGTTGCTCGTTTGTCAATTCAAAATAGTTTCACGGGAGCTCGTTCACAATTCAAAATCTGATTACAAGATTTTGTCAGCAATGCACAATGCTTTCATTTATTCACAAATTCAACTAATGTTGGCGAAGGAGTAGGGGGTAGGTATTCTGGGCTTCAAGAATACGTATAATACATGGTAGGGTCTTGTAACATCACATTTCTTACTGTCGTGCTTGGACTCAGGATCATTTTTATGTAAGCTCGTATGTGCGTGTGTGCTCATTTCCGGAATGTAAATCCGAAGTTCCTGTTTTGTTGTACTTATTGTACGTAACTCGGAGAACGTAAATAAGTTGGCAATACACAATACATGCTTGAAGTAATAAGAGTTATCACATCTCCTTCTCCCAATACAAATGTTTGCATAGGTAGGTAAAAAACAACAACAAAAAAACATTACCTAATTAGATTTTCGAAACCCTGAATGCTATATACGCCGTTTAAGCATATATTTTGTTGATTTTGAGAGTGGGGTCGACGCACCTCTCACGCAAATTAGGTAAATCGCGTCAAGACGTTCATTATGTTAATTAATTTTTGTCACCATTTTCATTTTCGAATTATCAATAATAAAGCAACATTCCAGAATGAAATAATCAAAATTCTTATCATGCAAATTCTAAATCTTTTCATTTTTCAATAAAGACATGAATATATGTTGGCACTTGGTCATAAGAAACATTCTTAGTATGTAAAATGTAGGGTTATGAGGAAATTCTGCGCCGCAACATCGTTAACGTCGATTACTGGCGTGTGTACAAAAGTACACATTATTGAGTCATGAGATACATATGTCCAAGACAAGTTATGAGATAATAACTCAACTAGGATTACTTACTATTTAAAGTTTGTGTTAGCAAACCTACGAAAATCACTCTTATACAAACACGTACGGAAGAGGACAATCTTCCACGAGCATACCGCACTGAAGAATTCATTTGTTTTTGCATCCTGTTGTTTCTCACCAGGGTCGCCGCGTGCTCTTTCCGATGTATCAGTAATACTTAAAACAATGTATAAATCACGTTGTGGGGCTACAAACCATGCATCCCTTGGATCGTAGGTGTGTAGAGTATTACAACTCAAATGGAAGATTTATTGCCTCTGAAAGCTTTCAAATGAGCCTTAACCATTTCCGTTGTTTAGTATGTTGATTTCACAATAGTAATTAAACGTTAGACACGTAGCTGCCATGAACATTTTGTGCGTATCATTTGTTCTGGAAATATTTCTATCAGATGCATTTAAATGAAATTCTGTTAATAGAAATTTCATTTATTCCAAGTCACATGTTCAACTTGCATACTACAATCTCAATCTACTTCTAATTCTCCATACACGAAATCCGCAGTAAATCGTCATTATGGGCTATCGCTACGGAGAACATACGATAATAAATGTTTTTCATAATAACCTCCTAAAGAGACGTATTTACTGTCATATTAACTCACGCTAGCGCTTGGCCATAATTACACTGTATACAACCGCAGCGCGTGTTTGGAAACACTTCTTACGTGGGGCAATACCGCCAAAAGTTAGCTCGGTTTAGCGATCTGTTTGCGAAGAATAAGCTCTCCTTATTGAGTACGGGGCAATTAATGGTACATACGTGCCATGAGAAATCAGGAGGTCTTCTTTGGCGAACGTATCTCCATGTAGTAATTTTAGAGGTGTCAAAAAAGACAGCTTTGTTTGTAATATCGTAGGTTAAAGCGATCCTCAGTCAAAGGTAAGGTTCTAATATACCTTCCTTTTACCTATGAGTATGGTTTAGTGTAATCCTCTATCAAGTTCAAGTCGGTAACTGAGTAAACGTCTGAATCCGATACGACATGGCACGTTCCTATTAAAAACACAAACCACCGTCGTTACCCATTTTGTACATTTGTACTTGCCGCACCATGCTTTTGGAAATGGATACGTCCACAAATCGTCTACCACAAGAACATGAACCAGAGAAGCAGGGGCCCACAGAGAAAATACGAGGCCTAGGGCAGTAGATTTATGATATTGCAAAATGGTCTTCATTTCTTAATCATGACATTGATAGACAGTTCACAAATTATGTGCATTTATATACTAGAGAGAAGATATTCATATTTTGCATTTTTTGTTGTGTTTGCCGGGATAAGTTGGACTTGTAATTTGTCAGAATCAAAATTGTCATTTACGACAACTTTGCGAATATGGTTATCATTACGTGGACAGGTATGACTCGAATATACGTTCCTTGCTTTTGTAAAATGTAGAAATGCTTCTGTTATAAATGTGGCAAATAATCCTTTCATAATTTTCCCTGACGAATACCTCTCAATGATCTAGCTTTCAGCGTGAAACATCTTTTCAGACAATTTTACACTAACGTGGGTCTGAGTGTTGGTGCAAGGAGATGCCAGGGGAAAAGTTCTGGGGCAAGGCCACTGCGGCGGTGGCGGCGCCCGAAAAGGCTCTCACGGGTGCCAACCTTCCCACTTTGTGCCGATAATGGTATGAAATCAGCGTCTGAAAGAGGCTGTCCTATCTTATGAATGTGGTCTTCGTGAGTTGTTTGCAAAGTTTTCTAAACGGTATAATATTTGGCGGAGAGTATATTGGCGAGTCTCTCTTTTCTGAATTCGGCACAAGTGTACGTTCGCTTGTGAGTGAACTGTCCGCGGAGTGCGTCCCTTGACACGGGATGTGCTGCGTCCGTGTCGTTAGGGCTGACGATTTGGACTTTGCGGCCTTCGTCTAAGCCAGGGGTTTCCTACCTTTTACTTTCTCCGACCTCTTTGCAAATAATTACTTGCTTCATCACCCTCCTCTTTCATTTTCTTTATAATATACAGCGTACATAATGTATAACAAAGAATTGCATGTAAACGACTCATTGGTAACGATTCCGCATACCAATATTTTTCTAAATATCTGGAGAATATTTTCGTGAGCGAAGAAGTAATGTTGTACATACGTAGTTAACATTTCATGGGTGTGCAAAACAGGAATAAAAAGCATGAAAAGAATAGAGGAAAATTTCTAATTTATTTAACTATTTAACAATACTAGGATAGGAAATATTGAAATATTGTGATTTCAACATTAAATTAATGTGACTTCAAGTTATGATTTATAAATTAAGATTTTTATCGATTTGAAATGAATACATATGGTAACTCAATTGATTTCCTTTGTCAGTAATGTAATAATAGTCTTACTCCAAAATATGTCATTTGAGTGTACACGTAAATAAATATAAAGCTCGTTTTGGTATCCAGCACCCGGACGACGACTGGGCCATCTGCTTTCGCTTGTGGCGGAGAGTGCCTGCTGTCGACGGCCCGGGGTGAGGCAAGGTCGCGCTCTCTGTCTGAACTGGGAGCAGTTCGCGCCCTCCTCCATCCGAACCTCTCGCCGCGCAGCTGACTGGGCATTCAGCCCTTCGTGCTTCTGCTCACAATTCCTGAGCTAATTGTCAAAAGCACATCAGAATTTGAGTTATGGATTATGCACTATCTGCTGGTAAAGTAACATTAAAGTCAGTGTGCAACACAATGAGTTTTACTTGTGAACACATTCGCTTGTGCCAAATTTGAAAAAATAAAACACAAACTACTGGATTAATTAGTACAAAAAATACGTTTTACGAACTTTTACATCTCGTGGAGGCCACGTTCACAAGGTACTGCCCCGTCAAGACGTTAATTGTGTGGTATTAACGAGCGCCGAACGCGGACGCTTGTCATCAAGAGAGCGTCTTTTCTGGCGCTGCCACCGTCATCGGCACCGTGGCCTTGCGTTGTGCCCCTCGCCTCTACCCGCTGCTCCAAACACTCAGGAAATAGTGGTTTATGCTATTAGTTTATAATGTTAAGCTTTATTGCAGGAGTATGTTTCGAAAACAAGCGACTTTAGGAGCGACGTTTCAAATTTGTACGAATGTAATAATGCAACATTACAAACGAGTTTCATACTATATGTTTTTGTATAACAGCATCATTTAAAAGAGAATTAAACTTAATTTTGCGAAACAACTTCCCCGTGACAGCGCGGATATTTGACATCGTGCGAGTAAACGGTGGTCGGCTATTCTGATTACTCTACCTCCCCAGATTCTAAAGTGGTCGGCTGTTCCTTTTAGCTCTACCTCCCCCGATTCTCTCGCTACGATTGGCTGAATGTGTGATGACGCAGTCATTCGTGACCAAATCTAATACGTCATCATTTGTGCCGTAAAATGCCCGATTATGAACGATTTCTTGCAACAGAAAAGGTTATTTTATAATGTTGGAATACAAACAAAATTTTTATTAACTTTGAGTCAAACGATGAGTGAACAAGTGGCTGAAAAGGTGTTTCAAGCAGAAACCTCTATCATAATATTTATGGAAAATCAAAGAAAATAATGGATTTAATTTGCAATAGGTTTTCAAAAGCACGAAACCTTGTGCTCAACCCTTACGGCGCCATTTCACCATAGGTAAGTTCTCCTGAATTAAAATTTTCATAATGTCAAGTTACGAGTCAAAATTGTCCCCTCAAATTCAACAAAAAAGAAACCTGCAACTTTCTCGATCTGTACTTTCTTGAATGTTCAAGCATATGATTCGTAGTTCGTCTTACAATGTAATCAGGTCGGCTATGATGGACTAAACATTATCAAAAATTATCAATAAAATAATTTTAAAATGTTTTAAAAATGCCCTGAAGGAGAGAAAAATGACGTAAAAAGGGTCAAAACCAGTTCAGACGAACAACTCAAGCTGTTGGATATGTTCCTGGTGTAATGGATGCTTGTTCCTTTCGCTCAAGACAACTCACTAGGGAATGCCGCGATGTGACATGGCGAAACCTGTCCTAATTCTTCTTTTCATCAGAAGAATATGCCGTATTTATCTCACCATCAAACTTTTGGGTGCCGATACACACTGCAAGCCAATTAAAAAACATTGTGAATTTGCAAATTGGCCTTATGCTTTCACCGATGTAAAAATGGCCAACCTGCAAAGCAGGTGTCACCCAGCGCGCTCGCTTGTGATTCAACACCACAGCTCGCCGCAAGCGGCCGACCCAGCTTCCAAGGTCGTTTCCTGCGAAGGGCAGGCGGGGAGGCAGCTGCCCTTCCAAGCAGCTAAAATAATAAAACTAATAACACAATATTAACTATACGTAGTCTAAACTACTAATACAAGTTTTTCCGAATTTTAGTTTTAGCTGTTGTTCATTTTTGTAAGAATACATTTCGTTGTGATAAACCTTGCCGCAACCATCTTCCATCTAACAAGAGCTACCTCCCCTGGAGCTCTTTCCTCACAAATTTAAGAGCTCTTGTCTGCGTCTACTGCAAAACAGGTCAATTGTGTAATCACACACGAAAGGTCGGTGCAAACTGAAAAGTGCTGTAAAGTTTGTAAGTCTTTCGGAATTTTCGAATGAGAAAATTGATTTATCAACACAAATAGGTACAAATTAAAGAACGGTAATTTTCGCGAACAAAAAAACAAAATGAGGCCATGACATGTGAATTTGATTCACAAAATAACTCTTAAATCTCTTCTTACATATTTTAAATATAAAATGATACAGTAGTTATATGATATTTAATGATTATGCATAATGAAAAAAGTAATAAACTTTCATTGGTAAGGAAATAAAATATCTCAAATAAAATGGTTTTTTACAATAAGAAAATATTTCAGTGTACTGGGAATGCCTCCCCCCCACTGAATGTCATTTGACCTTGAGGAAACAACCCTCTACAATGCCAACCTCGGCGCCCGCGCGCTCCCCTCTTGGCTTTCGAGGGTGGTCAAAGTTCTCTGTAGAAACCAAAAATAGTACGAAAGTGTTAGCATATTTGGAAATGTTTAAAGTAATTGGCTGTATGTATCGGCAGCCAAAATTTACATCGTGGTATCAGAAGGGAATGTAAATTCAATGAAAGGAACCTTCCTGTCTCGTTGACAGCGGATTTTCGATACTAGTTATACGAAGCGTGTTCGAAAAGGAACGGAAATTTCGTTTTCGACGGGTGGTATTAGTCTGGTTCGCTCGATTGTTTTTTATTGTTGGTAAGCATGTCTGAAATGCATCTGCACACTGGTTCCATTGTTGGATGGTTAGTCTGTTGTTAGTTGCGAAGAAGATTACGTGTGTTTGCTTATGAGTGGCGATTTTTGGTTAGTTAAAAAATGGATCAAAGAATTAGCATTACATTTTGCTATAAAAACGGGATAAAATGTTACAAATTATAGAAATGTTGAAAATTGCACTTAGTGAGTCCGCTATGAGCAAAACAAGGTATGGTGCGAGCGGTTCCAAGATGGCCTTGAAGACGTGGAAGACGACGAGCGTTCTGGACGCCCCAGCACATCAACAACAGCTGAAAAAGGAAAAGGTGCAAGAAATAATTATGAAAGATCGCCGAATTACAGTTAGGTAAGTTGTTGAAGATGTTGGCATATCAATTGGCTTATGTCATGAAATCTTTTCGGATGTTTTGGGTTTGAAACTTGTGGCAGCATAATTTGTGCCAAAGGTGTTCAATTTCGAACAAAAACAGCGGCGAATGGTTGTTGCTCAGGAGTCACTAAAAGAAGTCAACAACGATGCAGAACTACTGAAACGTCATAACAGGTGATGAAACTTGGGTGAACGGCTACGTCGTCGAAACTAAGGTTCAGTCGTCGCAGTGGAGGCATCCTGGGCGCCAAGACCCGAAAAAGTTGGGTAGATGCGGTCGAATGTGAAGGTTAAGCTCTCAGATTTCTTCGATTTTAACAGCATAGAACATTATGAGTTCTTCCCAAAAGGCCAAACGATTAATGAAGAGTACTACATACACGTTCAACGCCGTTTGTGGGAAGCTATCCGAAAAAAAACGCCCGGATGGCAAAACCATTCATGGCTTCTGCATCACGATAATGCACCTGCCCACACATCATTGCTTGTACGTGAATATTTGGAGAACACTGTAATGATGTCACAGCCTCCATATCTGCCAGATACGGTCCCGTGCAACTATTTTCTTTTCCAAATTAAAAAAGAACCTTAAAGAGCCGTCGGTTTTCAAGCACAGGTGAAATTAACAGCGGTTCGCTGAAAGAGCTATATGCTATCCAAAAATTGGAGTTTCAGAATTGTTTCGGGAAATGGAAGAAGCGCTGGCATAAGTGTCAAATATCTAATGGTGACTATGAAGGTGATAACATTGATGTTGACGAATAAATAACATTGATTCATAAAAATGAAAAGTCTCGTTTCTTTATGAACACACCTCGTATACTTAGCTTGACTTTAGTCGCTGTCTGGAGGAGAATACTAGCAGCCGGCTGCTCTGATAGGTGTTTTCGGTATGCTTTTTTAGCAACGGCTGTCGGTGTATTTCTACATGCCCTAACAAACAGGACCTGAACCGCCATGACCTGTCCTTCCTCTTTCTTGTCCTGTCCTCGCCTCTTACTTAACACACCTACACCTCCATCCAATCCACTGCTCATGTCGGGCGACCGGTCGAGAGCTTGACGCTTGTGCCCGCTCGTGGGAGATACCTGATTAGGGAAAACCCGCTAGCCGACGTGTAGGTCAGCGTAGGATTTCGCTATCGAGCAGGGGAAGATCACCGTTAATTGCAGGGGGGGGAAATGCGCTAGACTTACGGGACTAATGAGCCGTGGAGGGGAAATATCCCTTAGGCCGACGCCCAGATCTCACCGTCGATGGGGGAAAGATTCACTGCCACCTGCTGATAAAACGTTCACAATGCCAACGGAGTTGATGAGCAGTGGCAGGGGCGTCGTCGGCTGAGCGAGGCCGCTGTGTGTCGGGCAGGTGCCGTCGCCGGGCGCGTTCCGGCCGCGCCTCTCCACCGACAGCATCCCGTTCGTGGACGCGGACGCCGACGCGTCGAGCGTGGGCGCGCGCACCAACAGCCTGGCGCACGCCAGCGGCAGCTGCTGCTCCTCCTCGTCCTCCTCCTCTTCGGGCGAGGACGCGCCGCCGCCCGGCCACGCCCACCTCCTCCTCGGCCCCGGCCCCGCCGCCATGCAGCGCTACTTCCAGCCCCCGGCCGCCGTCGCGCTCTACGCCGACTCGGAGGACGGCGCCAGCCTCAACAACATCCTCGACGCCGTGGCGGGCCTCGACGTGGACGAGGACAGCCGCAGCTCCATGGTCACCACCGGCAGCAGCCGCGAGGACGAGGTGCGCGCACTGCGTTGCTTCTCTTCTCAAAAGACACGTTTCCTTGAGCTCTAGAATCCCTGTCCCCTCTTTTATTATAGATACGTGTTAGCAGCATATAGAAACTAGAAAATTTCTCTCCTGAATAATAGCACACTTTGGAAGCCGGGACATATCAGGGAATTTCATTGCTCTGGAAAAGTCACAATACCATCAGGGTATTTGTAGAATAGAAGAATTGTTAAAGGTCCTGTCCTCATTCCCTACTTACTCAAACTAACACGCACTTCATTGCCATTTATGCCAGGGGAACTTAGAGCTTCTTCAGGCTGTGGGAATACCTAGATGGGAAACCCCGCTAGCCGACTCATTTCAGTAGGCCAGTACCTCATTTCACCATTAAGCCAGAGAATATCTCTGCCCCTCTCGAGGAAAACACGTGCAGTACACTTAGGGGACTAACGCCCTCAGTAGCTGAGTTTGAGTACCGAAATGTCGTGGTGGTTGTGTACGAGGCTCGTTCCGTCCGCAGGTGGACGGCGACGAGGCGGACGACGACGAGGACGAGGAGCTGCGGCCGCCGGCGCCGCGCCAGGCGCCCGCCGTCTCCCTGGCTGAGCGCGCGCAGCAGTTCCGCCTGCGCAAGCGCGCGCAGATCCGCACTCTGCCCCAACACCGGCAGCAGCGCCAGCCGGCCACGCCCACCTGCCAGCCCCCGCCGCCTTCCAACAACAACAACCACCTCCTTGCTCCCTCCGCGCACGCCAACCACAACAACAACCACCGCAACGAAGACGACAACAGTTACTACTACTACCGTCCGCCGGCGCCGCCGCAGCCCGCCCCTCTGGGCAGCGTGGGGCCGCCGCGCCCTGCGCCCCGCGAGGCCCCCTACTACCACTCGGACACGCCCTACCACCACCCCGCCGCCGCGCCGCCGCCGCCGCCGCCGCCGCCGCCGCCCAGGCCGACGGGGGACGTGTACTACCACCCGCAGGCGCGCCGCGCCCGCCCCGCGCCGCAGCACAACGTGAGCTTCAACCTGCCGCCGCCCCCGCCGCAGCGATGGGACTCGCATCGTCTAAAGGTGAGCTTCGCTTTCAGGGCGTCGCCCATTCAATTTGTATTGTATTTAGCCGTTACATGGCCCGTAAAGGGCAATTGGTCTCAGCGCCGTTGGAATCTGCGGCTCCTGGTCGGTCACCCAACCAGGAACCCCCGATGTCTCGAATCTATTGACCTTGTTGACTTCATGAAGTTAACGAGTTCGCCAGAGACGTCGCTTTCGCTGTCGCGGTCTTTCGGTTGAATCATCCAGCGTTCGCCTGGATGATCGGAGGAAACCATGGTAACCCCGGCATGGGGATAGAACCGGGGCCTCCCGAGTGTAAAGTCTGCGCGTTATGCCCTGAGCCTTCGCTCGGTGTATAGTAAATATTACATTTCAAGCTATAAGTGGATTAAGGCAATGCCATGAAGACCATGAAGTTCTGTTTTCATCCTATGTTATTAACATTTCTTGTTTAAAACGTTACATTGCCACTGAGGTGCTATGCACACAATTCGTACTTTACTTAATTTTTAATTTACTTCATAATGAAGCAATTTTCGTATCGTCGGAAAGATTGTAAACAGAAATAAAAGAATGGAGGGACATTATACTAATATTAATCGCTTTATTATTCGCATATCAACACATAGAGAATATTGCGTGACGATATATTTATAACTATTGCTTACAGATGTAAGAGACTATTTAATTTCTTCTCTTAATTTCTTCCCCTTAGAATCTCGTCGGTGCAGGTGTAAATATTTTAATCTTTACAACATAGTTATGATCCACCTTGTTACTGACGTATTTTTAAATGGTTAACTTTTTTATATTTGGCTTGAATTTAAAAAAAATCACCAAAAAATTACCCCAAAAATGAAGTACTTTAGCTGTCATAAAATTGTTTATATGAATAAACAAAATATTCATTTGATCCTCAAGAGTCCATATTGTGCCCCATTCGGATCTAACTCAATTGCGTTTTCAATATTGTCTTGTTTTTAGACAACGAACGCAAAGAGATATCCGACGACAGTAAAACTTTCAGCGTTATGATTCTGAGCATGACTGTTTTACTCGCACATTAAAAGCAACATTACCGCTCTTCGACCTCATTAAATTGTAGGTAATAGCGCAATTTAAAATTTAATTGTAGGTTAAATACGATGCTCTCTTGTTGTATGAAATATGGTAATGAATTCCCTAAAGTTATAAACGGGTTATTTTTCAGAATAGACACAGACAAAAGCCGAATCCATCCTCATTTTCCTGCAAGCTGTATCTATTAATATTTCTGCTTTATAAAAATATAAGATTGGCGAAATATCAGACCGTTCTCAAGCAGCATTATATCTGAAACTTGATACGAAAGGCTTGTCAGTGAATATATTAAGTTAGTGTCCGCGCGATTGAAATCAATAATTTGAGAGAATTGTCATGTGTTTGACGTAAGATTTTTGACTGGAGAAAATTAGTGCACCTCATGCAAATTAGTGGAAAGCAGCAGTTAGTACAACTGCCGGCACGTCATAAGAGATCTCTCAGGATTTTGCTCTAAAAGATTCATTCATATTCATCGCATAAATTATGTATCGAATCGATCGGAAATAAATAAAATGTACGAGATGGCGAGAAATGGGCAATGATTTCGAGAGCGATGAGCTGTTCTGCACAGCGTGTCGTAAGTGATAATTGCCAGTGTCATTGACTGCGTCCAACGAAACGTTCAGACGTCTTCGAACGATGCTGTGCTATACGAATGCGGGTGGTGTCCTTCCCAAATCCCGTAATCGTGAAGGCTTGGAATTTGCGAACTTCTACGCTTCTTTATGTTCACGCTCATTATGTTTTCGTCCTGAGGAACACAGTTTTTGCGATCATATGACGCGTACATTTCAAGTTTCATCGAGAATGTCCCGTTAGGCATTCAATAGCCAGCGCTTGCAACCTGTGCGTGCCACATCTAATGGTAGCAAATTTAATCGAAAGATCGAAACATATTTCGATTCGTCAAAAGGTTTTTGATGTCCATGAGAAAGGCGACAAAAACATGAATGTTTAAAATATTGCTATTTGAAATATAATAAAACGAATGGCATTTTTCCATCCTGTTTCCATTTCTAATTAGAGTATTTAAATGAAATACTAGTATACTTTGTTAATTGGTCACGTATCAGTGTGACGTCATGGATACTCACAGCGACCACAGACACAGACCTTTCGTATAACAAATATATTTATTAACAAGAAAACAAAACAAATATATACACTTAATAATCTACTTACACCCTAGTTCTGATAGACCTACTATCCCCTGATCGCTGGAGCGATCCAAACCCGATTGAAGATGGTTTTGATTGTGGCATTCGCCACTCCTACTTTTGAAGCGCGCACAAAGCCTAGCTTCCGTGACCGGATGTCACGCTGGGACACAAAGTCCGTTCTGGCGCACCAACGGCTGGTTTGCCTCGATCGCAGGAGCGATCTTATCCGATTGAGAATCGGCGTGAATCGTGGCACTCAACCTATCTTCACCTCGGAGCACGCACACAGCATCGCTCCCCCGTGACCGCAGTCACCCAAGGACCTAAAGTCCGCAGGCTTCGTCAACTAATGTCTCCAGCCTCGCGAGCCTGGCTCACATATGTACCGTCTTGGCGCCAAGTTTTGTGCACACGCACGAGGTTCTCCCACTGTCTCCAGAACCCACCCACTGGCTCCGTACACTCTGTTATATAGGCGAGGCCCACGTGACCTACTACGTCACGCCACCCCCCTCGCTTGTTATAACAGTGAAAAGCTTCTATAAGCTGGAAACTCCCAAAACCTTGTGTCTCCCGTTTCCGCGTTCTTCCCTTTACGGAAAAACCCTACTTCCTGTGGCTAGGCTAATCCTCTACCAAGCGTCCCCAAATAGATGCCATGAGGCCCGCTGGCTAATACGTTACAATCAGTAATGTGTTAATGATAATGTTTATTTTTATTTCCTTCCTTACATTCAATAAAGAACATCGTGTTTTGCTATTATTCAATTTAATCTCTTCATTTATAAATGAAGACGGTAAAACGTCCTGTAACTAATACTCATACTACGTAAATATGAAGTATAGTCTGCCTTAAAGCACTCACTGCATCTTTATTTTCTAATAAATATTCTATTCAGACGAGGTTGAAAATACTGTCTAACGATATTACGTACAAAATCAACAAAAAATATAAAAAACCAATTTATTAAAACAGATGTTTCTGGAACAATATAATCAGATCTGAAAATAAACTATCAAATACAAAACATCGATGCTAATATATCAAAATTGCTGGTGGGAAATATCGTTGTTTTAAAAGTATCGATGTTTTAGGAAAAGGATCGCTGATTTTTGCCATGCGTAGTCACATGTCGCCTGCATTTCCGCCGGCGCGGCGTGGCCCGCGCGCGTCACCTCTGCGGAGGCCGCAGCAACGCTGCGCGGGGCGAGCGCTCCCGCCTCTGGCGCCGCGCCAGGCGCGCCCGCGGCCGCCCCCGCCCCCGCAGCCCCGCAGCGGCGAACGCCGCCAAGCGCTTGGCGTGGCCGATTCGCGCCTTTCAGCGCTGCGTGGGAGCTGTGGGCGGAACAAGGGCGATGGCAATGCCGTCGCCCGGTGCGGGGTTGGGGAGTCCTCCACCCACATGGTGGGGAAGCACGGAGTCAGGGGATCGATTTTATTTAATAGGGATTCATTACAAGTAAAAATGTAAGAACTTCATAATACGTGGCTTGGCCGAACGTGTTCAAGCCATTACAATGCTCTACATCGTACCGTGTGCTAACCATTCGATTTCTGGCATTCACCCCAAATGGCCTCTCCGTCGCATCAAAGTCGTGTAAAAGTTGCCGTCCGATGCAGAATACAGGCTGTTGCACCCAACTATCTCTAAAGTATATCCTGGGAGCGGACGTGACGCGTTCTCCTTGCAGTGTTTTGCCTCTCAGCTCCTAAAATCAAATTGCGCCAAAGAAGGTCGTCCGCAGCAACGCGTCTCCGCTCTCTTTCCGGACACTATTTAATTATTTGTTGGTTTACGTATTGCTTAATGACTTATTTACATATCAGTTTACAATCTTGACTTAAATTCAGTTTTATTCTTTATTGCATGCGTGTGTACTCCGCGGGGAAGCACTCTACTTGGCGTCGAGGGTTGTTGGTGTGGGTTTGGGCCTATCAACTCTCCATTACAACTGTGGAAAAGGCCAGAGTGCAAGGATATGTCTGCCGGTTCGAGTTTGAGTAATCCTCACCCACTTTGAAAAATAAAATATGTGGAGCAACTGTGGGAAATACGAAATAATCAGGAATCAGTTGTTTCTATTAGTAATTTGTGCCTGAAAGAAAAAAAGGCGCAAATATCAGCGGGGTTCTGTGGGCGCGCCTACGCTCCTTCTGCTAGCCCAACACTGACAACGCGCCTTCTCAGGAACGGTCGTAGCGGTGTCTTTCAGCTCCTACAAGAGAGTCTAGAAAAGAGCACTTTCATCTAAGATTCGCCACTAGTTTATTTGGGAGTTGACGGATCCTGAAGAGAGTACTCGAGGCCAAGTATTAGAATGTTGAACGAGTCGAAGAGCGGAATCGACATTCGAAACTAGTTTCTCGCTTGCAGGATGCTTCGGGATGTAGAGGCAATGGAAATCCCTGTGAATGTTGCCACAGCTCGCTCACCTGCCTATGCCGATCGTAAATCTGTACTCCTCTCGCTGCTTCGTTGTTTCTGCGGCGGGCGGTAGCAATGGCAATATTACCATTAGTAGCCAGCCAGAGGTGCAGGCTCGCCGCAATCGTGTTTGCCTGCCTTGATACTTTGAGTCAAGGGTTGCGTGGCGCTGGCGGTCCGGTCTAATGCACCACTCTGATGAAAGAAAAACTGTTGATTGAAGCTGTAGGAGTAAGATGCAGAAAATCTTTTCGCCCTAATTTCATCCTGTTCTTTATAAATTTTATTGATTGGATCGGGATGTTAAAAATTTACAAGTTGAAGTTTGAAACTAATGCTGCAAATTTGTGAATCGCTTTTGCAACGGATATGTAAGAAACAGCTCTGCTTTATGCAGTATGAAATTGTATTGCTGATATGCTTGAAGCTTTGTAGAAGTATTTTGCATGCAGGCTAAAGAAATGAATAGAATGTCAGAGACCATAAGCAGGCTTGCAATTTGGTTATGAGACATTCCTTTGTCAGTACAAAAACATCCTTTTTGTCTTGAGGAATGTATTTGCGTCATAAAGCCTTCTGAGGTTTTTGTCAGTCGTAAAGTCTTGGAAGTCGTTGCGGACCGGAGATATCTGCGACATAGATTCATTGTTCCATTTCTCAATAGATCTGTGATTAGTAAAGTAGTAAAGTTCAAATAGTGACAATGTGCAACGGTAGATTATGAAAAAAAGTGATACAGCGATTATTATTTACTTTGAAACAGAACCGTATTGTCATCATTTTTTTCGATTTGTTAAGTTTGTTAGAGAATACACCGAACTATATTTATTAATACATCTTTCGCATTTCTGCACAGATAAAATTAATTGTCGTTCAAATTACCTCCGAAATGTAGGATTGCCTCTGCCGGATCTGTTTAGCTCAAGATTAACTAATGACAGACGTGCAACTAAGGAATGATTTGGCGTTTAAATAAAAACGTAGCTCAATAAACTCGACATCGCTCGCCATTTATGAATCAATCATCTACGTGTTAGATAGCAAGCCTACATGCCATTGCATAGTACTGCAAAGCGCTGCCCTACAGAAGTCACCCGATCCGCCACGGTTTTTACATCAACTTGAGTATTTAATGTTCTTTATTCATACCTTTTTTGTATTAGTTTCATTTTCGACCTCTTACAACAGTCACGCCTAGATGCAATGAAGATAAATTTCCAATCTACCTTTATGAATAAGTGAAGGAAAACTGAAAAATATAACCTATTATTGTCAATAGAAAGTGTTCACAGTAACCAGTTGAAAGTAAAATAAATCACCACTCTCCAAGGGATAATATGTATTTTCAATAGTTGTTTCAATATCATTTGTAGTGATTTCTTCGTCAATTAATACTTCTATTAAGAGTTATCCTCATACTGAATGCCTCAGGCCAACCATAAGACAACTGCAGTTGTCTGTTCGCTGTTTTCTTGTTTGATAATTTCATTTTAAGAATGAGTGAATACAACCATAAATGTAATCATCGTTTGGTAACGTATTCTCCAATGAAATTTTGTATTTCTTTTTAAAGAGCGCCTTTGGGGAGAACATATTGAATCGCATCTGTGCTAAGTTTGTTTTCTTTGTCACTGAAAGGTATTCGTACTTAATTTGGGAGCAATTTCTCCTGTAGTACTATTTTTTGTGATTCATGCCATCGTAAACTACTTCATTTTTATGTAATAGTTCTGCAATATTTATTTAGATTTATTGTTATTCTGCGTTTCCGGGCGCGTCAACTGATGTGGTCATCAGTCCTGTAAGTGTAGTGCATGTTTCACGGGAGTTGGCGGTGTTCTTTTCTCGCTAGACAGCGGCTGAATTGGAGTTTATGTAGCTGCCTAGTGTTGAAATTCCACTCCCATCGGACCTCGAACCCTACGCCCTCCCGGCCAGAGGCTCTGCATTGGAATAAATTGATGCCGTTAGTCTTCTCAGCCGGTTTCTTCCGACAGTTGTTGAACTTCAGTTGACTGATTTTGCATTTACAATATAAAAAAATATTTTAAAGAAATTATATGAAAGGCTATGGAAATGTATTTAATCCGATTTCTGAAAATTGGTTTATTTCTTCTTATTGTAAATGTAATGAAATTCACGTTGCTCCACTCCTGCTTGTTCACAAAAGGGAAATTTCTGATTCTCGTGGAAAAACAATAGGGCTGGTGCAGATACCAGAGACACGGCAAGGCAATTTATTCGTGGTAAATATCAGAAATGGTTGTTATGAACTAGTGTTATTTTTTCAAACGTGTAATAACTACACATGTAGTAAGTCCCATGTTTGGACTATCCTCTGCCGTCTTACTTCGACCATGTAGGAAATTAAATTCAGCAACAAGTATTCCTTGGTGCCGAACTTCAGAACTGAGTGACCCGAGGGTTTCCTGGAGTTGCAGTTTAGAATCCCGAATTGTTGCGGCTGATGTTTGCATACACCAAGACAGATATTACAAATTTAATTGAATTATTGGATGTATACTTAACCGCAGAGCTGTTACTCGAATTACTTCGTATAATTTACCATCCAACAACCTACAAATCTTTAATACTTTCAGTATTTCCTCGCGTGTTTCTCGCGAACGCAGTGCTTAATGCAGTGCAACTCCGTGACGGAGACAATGGAAGAGCAGTTAAACCGGCGGTGCCTCCAGCCGCGTGTTCTCCTCGAGCGAAGCAGAGGGTAAAGTGTCTCCAGAGGCTCGCGGCTTTGTTGCTCGCTCGCTCGACCTTTGTGCGTCTGCCGTCGCGCGGTGTGCAACGTGTTTGCCGTGGAATTTCTCCGTATGACCACCAAAGGCCTCGTAGCCAGCTATATGGTTTAATTAGTAATGATATTTGCAACAATCTGTTTGGGGAATAGCGTTTCGCGCTGAGATAAATACGCTCTGTAACGGAGAGCCGTTTAGCTGGAAGTAGTGCTTATAAACGCTGGTAGTTTTGTTTAGAGTTGAATTCATTTGTTCTGCGCAATGGGGAAGGTAAATGGGGTCAGTGTTCGGTTAATGCTAACATCTCTTTACGCGTACATTGTTACCAGTAATTATTAATTGTCAGCTTTTCAATGTTCATTTTTCGAAAATAAACATTCTATCTTCTTATTTTCTTGTGCAGGCTTGTAAAACGTGAAACAGATTCCGATAAAATACATTTCATTCAAAGTGACGCGAATGATGTGTATATAGTTGAAATAATATTTGATTATATCTCTCAACATTCATTCAATATACAGTTCGTACTGTGAGCTCTCTTTCACAAATTTACAGTATATGGCAGTAAATAAACTTAACAATGTTTAAGGTAAGAAGTCAAACGATTCGATAGAATCTCTTGCCTGCCACTGGTGATAAGTTAAACATCTTTGAATCGTTAATATATGAGAAACTAACGCCTGTTTCTGCAATACACCGTCAGATTGGGTATCAGTGGGAGATCACTGGTTGGCAAACAAAGTATATGAGACTAGTGTTAATTGAAGTAATGTTCTGTAAGGTAAAGATCCTATATTACGTACTCCATATTCCAGTATTTGGCATACTTTTGAAAATTCAAAATGGCCAATTGTATTCCCTTCTCGGGTGACAAAAGAAGGAATGCTGGCCTATGATTCGAATAAACATGTTGAGAATAATCCTTTCCACTATCGCCGTTTTGAACGATCTTTAGGGACGTTTATCTTAACTAATGCTCAATGAAGATTAACTAGCAAGTACTTCAAAGAAAACACTTAACTAGAAAGTACTCATCATTTTAGTCGTTGAAAAAGGTCTTGTTAATAAGAGAATTTGAAAATGCTAGCTAGAGAATGCGATCGATTGTTATCGTAGTTTCTCACTTCGTATTTTAATAACAGCTTTGCAAAATTGGCAACCGTCACGTATCCCGTGTGGGGTTGGACCCTTAACACAAGACGTCGTTTTGGAGATTGCGAAGGAGGAACGTGCGATGCAACTTGAGCCACGTCTGCGCGTCATCTCGTTGCGTCGTTGTCAAAGCCTTGCTGTCAAATCTGTTGCCTTCGTTCGCCTTTAGCGTTGTCACCCGCTCCCGTCTGCATGGAGGCTACTCGAATGCAGGGACTAGGACAGAGTGCTAGCCGCAATGGCTCGCGTGCCGCTTGCCTTTCACTGCACCGAGTCAATTGCCACCCAGCGCCTCCCGTCCTCCCCTCCAATTCCCTTCCTCGCCCCCACCCCTCCTCTCCTCACCTGCCCTTTCTCTTACCCACCTCTTCCATCCCGTTCCCTTCCCCACTCCTCCATTGTCCCTCCACTTCCCTGCCTCTCCTCCACTTCCTCTTTCCCTCCTTTTCGATCCTCCCATTACCTCCCCTCCCCTTCCCTAACATCTCCCGAATCCTTACCCTCCCTTACCTTCGCATTCCTTCCTCTCCCGTTCCTCCCCTTTCCCCTCCCCATCCATTCCCGTCCTCCATCCCTTACTCTGTCCCACCTCTTCCCCTCCCTATCACACCCCCACTCCCCATCCTATCTATGCCATCCCATCCCTCGCGTCGGACTGACTCGACTGTTGTAAGATTTATTTAGTCGTTCACTTGATGTACATCAGCTGTTTCGGTTTCTTCCAATCGGGAGCTTATATGTCGCTACAGTGACGTCACTATGGGGACGTTGAAGCTTCTGATTGGATGAAACTGTGAACAGCTCATTTACATCAAGCGCACGTTTAAATACATTTTAGTGTAGCTGCGCACCACTCCGGGCTGACGCGTGCGTTGCCGAGGCCCGAGGCGGCGGCGCTGGCCCTGCTCCATCAGCGCGCTTCAGGGGAGCCCCGCTCGCGCGCCCGCCCGCTCGCCGCCGCCCCGCTCGCGCCCGCCGTCGCGCGCCCGCCCGCTCGCGCCCGCGCCCGCTCGCCGCCCGCCGCTGCCGCCGCCCCGCTCGCCGCCCGCCCGCTCGCCGCCCGCCGCTCGCCGCCGGCCCCCGCCCGCGTGATGAATGTGCCTCGCGGAGGCCCGCGGACACTCGCGCACACGCTGCGGCGCTAGCGGTTTGGGGGAGGGCGAGGCCT